GGTCGGAAATCGCAGGATGTTTTTGGTTGAAAAATTTGATGATAATTTTTGTTAGCGAAGACGATGAGATCGGGCCATTATCGAGTGCTTACGCAAAATAAGAAGAGATAGAGGTTGATCGAGGGTGTTTAATTGGAGTATTAACTTGAATCAATCCAATTAGAGAGAAAAAAAGGGCGATTTCCAACAAGTGTAAAGGTTTTAAATTAACCAAAAAGAATAAATTTTGATCGAGCCATATTATTACAGGAAAACAGTCAACAGTACAACCAAGTTATGGTTCAATCTTGTCAAATACTGAAAGCATCAATCCATTCAAACAAACTATAGGGCACTTTAAGAGCTATTCAGAGCCATTTATATTGCCATGCGACGCCTTAGGCTGGAGTTGCAAGTGTCGTCAATTCTGCAAAAGTTGCAAATTCTGAAAAATGGTCCACTAATATTCACGATATCATCATCCACGCCCACCATATATCCAAACTCCCTACTTATACGGCATATACCCAATCCTAGGTCAAAAAGCCCCGGCATTAGAAGTTTTTCAACCTCCATCATTTCTCAAGGTGTTGTTCGTATACCTATTCGTTTGAAACGAAAAATTTCAAAAAATAAATCTAAATCTTTAGAACTATCTCAATCCACCATGGACTCATCACAAGCCAACCAATCAATTACTAGTACAGCTTTCCTCCTTATCCACAAACAATTATATCAGGACATCGTTCCTTTCTTGGTCAAACACAAAACAGAACTAACATCAGAACAATTGGGCATGATCATGGCAGAATTAGAGATAAGGAGTAAACTTCCAATTATCCTTGAACTATATAACCATTTCCCAGGTAAATCATTTGAAAAGGGACGGATCATAAAAATATTGATGCGTGTTTTTTCTCAACTTGAAGAATATTCACTTGTTGAGATTGTTTTTTCAAGATATTTGGAATTACCAGAACTTAAAGTTAGATATTGTAACATGGGTTTAAAAGCTGTCATTTTCAATGGTAATCAAGAGCTTGCTAAACAATTATTATATCAAATGGTTTATTCACATCTGCCCATGAATGATTCAACATTAAAGTCATTCTTATCTGCTGTGCAAAAGTCTGGTACTTTCCAATCAGTCAGATTTGCTGTTGATCTGTTAGAAAAAAATCCAAATGTACCTGTTGATAATCAATCATATAGTACAATAATGAAATGTTATGCAAAGAATGCAACTGAAAGTGAATTCAAAAGTCTTGCAAATGTGCTGGAGAAACGAGGTTGTGATTTATATGAATTGGAATTGCATAAATTTTATCATGATTTGATACAGCAAGTGAAAATTGATGATGAAAAGCTTTGGTCTAAGATTTTGGAGATAAGGTCAAATCTGTCAAAGAAATCTTATCTTTTGAATAGTTTTTATTTGGAAATGATGTCAATATTCTCTTACAAGTTAAGAAGAAATGATATGTTTAGGCTTGTGGAGCTTTTATCAGAGGATTCTATTGAATTTTCTGATGAATTGAATAACATCTTATTTTCATTTTTCGCCAAAGTTGGTGATGTTGATGGATTACTAGTTTATTTTTCATCTTTTAAAGATAAAAAAATCCATATCCAACCTCAGTTTATTTATTCATTATGGAGAACTTTGATAACTAAAGAACCCGAATTAGCAAAAATTGTCACAGATACCATTGAGGAATTCATGCATAAACATTATTCAACCGCACAATTGGAGAATAAATTTTTGAAAGCTATATCATTAAGACATAAGATGAGGAATTCGTTGCCTGATTACGTTCCTGCAGTTTCTGATAAAAGATTAGCTAGAAGCTTAGAAGTCTTGAATGATTTGCTCCACCAGAAAAAAGATGCAGAAATCATTGTATTGATTAATGATAGATTAAGACAAGGTTTGAGACCGGAATTCCCATTATTAATGTCTGCTATGGTTGGATTAATAAAGATAAAATCACCAGAGATTCTTATTCTCTACAAGTTGGGATGTCAATTATATACAGATATGATTGTTGATTTTGATTTGGTTTGGTTGAAAAAGACAATTTATGATTTGAGAGCTGAACATAATAATGGTTTAAAGCTTTTTGACACGGGGAGTGCATTAATTGGTGATTTCAAATTGAAACATGGAGACAAAATGACACATTCACATTTTAATGATTTGGCAAATATTTGTATTGATATTTTCAATTATGATCTTGCTATTGAATTGTTGCAAGAATCAAGAGCATCAAGTGCTGAAGTTGAGAAAAGAAATAACCTAAATATTTACATCACATTATTGAAAGCATTGGCTAGGAAGAAGGATTTACCAAATTACTTGCATGTTATGAAGTTATTTTACACTGATGACGATGTAAAACTTAGTACCTTTGGTATAAAAAGATTGAAAACTGGTAGACAATATTTCATCAAGAAGAATGCAGAGGAACCATTTGAAAATTTTGAAGAATTTTTAAATCAATTTGATATACATCATGAAAAGATCAAGGAGAAATATACAACACAAAGAGAAGAAGCTGAAGAAAGTTGCAGAAATGCCATAGAATTTTTTGAAAAATGGAATAAGGAGACTTGAGGGGTGGAAAAGAACATGGAAAGACCATCTGATCATTATATTTATGGAGAGTTAGTCCTCCATCTTGTACATATCACACATCATCATTTGCATAATTTGAATTTTAATAAAGATCTGTTGTTTTTACATTGCATTGGAGAGGATAGAAAAAAAAGGGGAGAATTTGATTTATTAAGATTGGGTATCTTTATATCTATATATATAACTTGTAAATACAATTACTAGATATTCATTTCTTAATTTTTTGTATTATGCTCTCTGGTCCCGTGACCTGTGCGTCTCGAAACTTGAATTTTGTTAGGAGCCGTCGCATCTCGTTTTTTTTTTGAAATGTCACATAAATTTTTTTAGAATTTAAAACTCTCATGCTAATATTCTATTCTTCTTTGATCCAAAACTTGTGAAGTATCTTAAAAGTTTGCTTTCAATAGAAAATACTCAGTAAATCATGGATCAATCAATAGAGAAGGTGATTCTGGAAGCAGTAAGTTGGGAATTGTGAAGATGAGATGAAAGTTTGCCCTTGAAAGATCAAATACTAATGATGGTTATCTTTAGGAACCAAATTTAACTAACCATTTGGTTAAAAAGGCATTGGAGTCTACACTATGTCCAATCTGTCAAGATCATATGTTTGTGCCGTTTATGACAAAATGTGGTCATAATTTTTGTTATGAAGTGAGTATTTCCCAAAAACCATTGTGAAAGCTTTCAGCTAACTTTTTAGTGTATAACGAGTTGGATACAGACAAATCAAACATGTCCTGCATGTCGATCTGAATTGGTGGAGGAGCCTTATTTGAATGTTCATGTTCAAGATATGGTTAATACGTTGGTGGATACATGTCAAAAAATATCATCATTATCACAGAATGTTTTGAGAGATCGAGCTTTAAAAGTTAAACAATACAAATTAGATGTCACACATGATAATTTGTTTAAAAGAGTTTTCAAAAGTACGGGGCATGCAGTTGTTGATATTTCGGATGGTGTTGCCAGATGCAGTAATTGTCATTGGGAAGTTCGTGGGAATAGATGTCCAAATTGTCATATTCATTTAAGAAACACATATATAGATGAGATATCATCTGCTGATACGGATTTCTCTGTTGATGATTTTAGAGGTGTTGATTTAGAGCTTGAATCGGGTGATAGTAGTGATGATGGGTTTAATATAAATCGTGATATGTCTGATGGAGATGGTGATTTTATTGATGATAGATCTATAGGTGAGATGGAGATTGCAGATGTCAATCCAGAGCTTACTGATGCTTCAAGAGATTCTTCACCAGTGAGGCAGCCAGGAAGACGGTATGTTCCAACATTTATAGATGATGACGAGCCTTGGGAAGATGGGCAGAGTAGTACACATTCAGAATATTATGAAACATGGAATGGGTTTGAAGATGATGTTCACCAACCATTCCCTATAATCGATGCACCAGAGGATGCAAATTCTGAAGATGATGAGGACTGTGTAAGTCCAAGAAGGAGAAGGTGAGTACAATGTTTTTGAAATTGAAAAAAGATTTTTACTAACAATGCTTTAAAATAGAGCAGTTAGAGTATTGGATGATACAGATGAATCTGATGGGGTGTAATATCAAATAGACAATAAAGCTTTTTATTTATTTGAAGTTTATTTTGTTTTGTAATGTCCCTATTTTTTCAACATTTATCTCCACAATATCACCATTTTTTAACCATTTTGGTGGTTTGAATCCACTTCCAACACCTTGAGGTGTACCAGTAAACAAGATATCACCAGGTAATAGTGTTGTTCCTTGAGATAAAAATGAGATTAATTTTCTAACGTTGAAAATCATATCATTAGTGACACTATTTTGTCTTATTTCACCGTTGATTTTCGAACTTATTTTCAAACCATTTGGATCTTGAATCAACTCTGGTGAAATAATTGCAGGACCAATAGGGGCCCAAGTGTCAAACATCTTACCTGTTGAGAATTGACTTCCACCTCTTTCTATTTGCCAAGTTCTTTGAGAAACATCGTTACCAGCAGTATAGCCCAAAACGTAATCTAACGCTTTTGACTCTTCAATATCAGAACCTTGTTTCCCAATAACAACAACTAATTCAGCTTCATAATCGATTCTGATATCTTCAATCTGTGCCACTTTGGGGATAATAATATCATCTGAGGGACCATTTAGAGTAGAGACTGGTTTATAGAAGAGACATGGGTATTTGGGGATAGGTAAATTGATCTCAATAGCATGTTTTTTATAATTCATCCCAATCATACGGATAGTATGAACTAGACTATGATCCAGTGGAGGTAATAATTTATCAATTGATAGCACTTCATCGGTCACTTTATAGCTTCCAAAGATGTTTCCTGATATCTTGTATGCTTGAGTAGCTAATCTTGGATCTGATTGTTTAGTTTGCAAGATGGCATCTCCAAAGTATGTTTTCCCATCACTAGCGATGAACCTGACAAGTCTCTAGTTTTGTTTGTTAGATGCAGGTTCCTGATCGTAGCCATTCTACTCACTTTGAACGTCATTATCAGCCAGTCATTTGATCATTATAGAGGCCATTAAAGTACCAATTCATGTTGTAATTGATTTAGTCATGTCTTCGAAGCCATAGTTTTGAGTGTCACCAGCCACAGACTGCCATTTTCCTCTGTGGCTAGTGCTCTTCCTCAACTGTGGCTAGTGTCCTTGTGCAGCGTGTCGCGGTGTCGCAGTTGTGCGCTGACGGTTTAAAAATTGAGCGTTGATTGGGCAGAAGAAAACTGGGAAAAAAAATCAACTAACTTTTAAATGGTGTGTTATCATTCTACATCCACAACAACGTCAATACACAACAACCAAGAGTAAGTGGTCTCAACTAGTGATAGAGAATGGATTATTCAATCAAGATAATCCATTATACCTCTTTTTTTTCTGAATGAATTACTAACAGGTGAATTAATAGTGGCTACCAACAGAGTTATTGAATTACAAAAATTATACCAATCATCCCCAAAACCATTATGGATGAAACACCCAAGATCTAAATTCTACATCTATCCATTCTGGGCTTTATTCACTGGTGTCACTGCCATCAACTTATACTACACTGGTCGTGCTATCTTAGGTATTAAAGATCCAAAGAAATAAATGATTTGAAAAAATGAAGAAAAATACATCCTAATATCATATATTCAATTTACAATCAACTAGTTTCAGAGATTCTACAATACAAATCAACAACCAGTGTCATTTTTTATTTATAAGTTTTCAAAAAAAAACAGAAAAGATTAAAATCATGAAGTCAATACATATTATCTATTTATGAAAGGAATCTGTGTAGTGGTTATGCCTCAGCCAATACTGAATCAATGGCTTCTTGGATACTTGTGGCAAATGTAAAAGCTAGATCATTGGTTTCTCGAGAAACTTGATTGAATTTCTCTTTAATCAATTTAGCCTTTGATATTAAATCCAACATATCAATTTGACCTAATCCAGCATATTTGTAACTCCATTTGATCAATTTTATAAATAGCAATGTTGTATACATTGTACAAAGATGGATTTGATCAGATAAGCACAAGAAATAAACAATGTCTTTAATTCCATTTATATGATCAATCAATCTAATTGAATGATACATAAATTTTTTCAAAACTTCTTTATCTTTAATTTCATCTTCTTGATCTAATTCATCAATTTTCTTATCCCCACCAAATTGATAATGATACATTGCCACAAGATAGACATAATGATATCCAAACTCCACAAATTGTAAAGTTGGTTGTCTAAATAAATAATTCCATTGTTCATGCCATAGATTCAATTCTTGTTCAAAACTTTCAAAATCAGTATTGAACTGATTCACTTGATCATTTGTTGTTGAACCACTTTGTAAATAGTTATAAAGTAACAACTGTAATGAAATCTCACTAACTATTCTCCCATCAAAATTTGTAGCTTGTGAAAGATCTAAACTTTTCCTTGATTGATCTAATCTGATTTCATCCAATACACACATTCTTGATGAAAAGACGCAATTAACTAAATGAACAAGACAAATATGATTCCAAATCCTAAAATTTGATAGTTTATCACATTCTTGTTCAAGATCTAGAGATTCATGTAAATTATCAAGGTTTAATAATTCAGAATCAACATCTAATGTAAGAAATTTTTGTACTGCAATACCTGATAAAAACCAAGGATCTATTGTGAAATCTGATACTGATAAAGAATAACCATAGACTGATAAAATCACTAATGCCTTTAAGAATTCTAAAGAATTTATTGGATTTGAAATTTCTTGGAAAAGTTCCAATTTCAACTGTTTAATTAAATCCAAATAGAGCTTATTATCATGATTTGATTGTTTTTGATAACGAAGACTTGTAACACAAATTGATGTTAATAAAATTGGTGATGAGATTTGAATAGAATTTATTAATTCCTCAGTGGTTATATTGTTCGGTAGTGAAATCCAACGACCATAACATTCTTTAAACTTGTCAACTAATGTAATAGCTTCTTTCATTGTGATGATCTCTAACGTTAACACACTTATTGGTGGTGTTGGCTTGATATTTGTTGGATTGAAAAGTTGTCGTATTGTTGAAGATTGACTAGATACGGAATTTGAAATCAATGTAAATGGACTGGTTTGGAAAGGTGATTTATGCTTTGTGGTTGTTGAATCATCCTCCCCTCTGTTTAATGATGTGATTGGATGCGTCTTTGGTTGTAATAACGTTAAAATCTTTTTAACATTCTTATCTAACTCAATAATATTAACACCATCTATAGTTGTTGAAGTATCAATTACAGTGATTGATCTTTTTCTATTGCTATTACTACTAGAGCCTGTTGAAGCATTACCACCACCAGAAGATTCAGCACCACCATCTTTTAGAAAACTGCAAGGTCTTGATAATGATTGACATCGTAAACAAGAATTTGAATCATTTGAAGGGAAACATCTAGTCTTTTGACGACGACATGCTAAACATGCCTTAGCAGCTCTTGGAACGTGAACATGTTTTATCTGAGTAGGTTCAGTCATCTCGATTCTCCAAAACTTTCCAAAACTTCTTCAACCCAATCCAAACTGAAAAGACTTGACCTGTGTTTTTATATCGATTTTGATTGTTTACGTTGTCGTCTCCATGTTTGGATCCGGAAATTTCAGGCAGTAAAAAAAATACCCGCGAAATTGGGTTCCTCCGAGAATCGAATTGAGATTTGGAGGGCGCCGGTGGGCCTACGGCATGCCGACGGGTGTAATACACTGTAGACGTTGGTGATCAAGAGATTTGGAAATTGATGTGTTAAATGATAGAGATGAATGGAGATGGAGTTCTGCGTAAGGGGTGTGGTGAGTAGGCTTGGAGGTTGGGTTGAAATGCATTTTTCAGCTGGTCAAAGCTTCAAGTGAAGCAGCTGAATATATCATTGTATGTAGTTATCAAGATCTAGCTAATTCTCCGTCAATAACCGACGCTACAAACATAACGCAAGGAACTACAAAATGAATAATTATAAAATTGAAACGTATAAATAAGAAAAGTATAGAAAGAGAGAGATCAACTACATGCCATAAACCTTTATGACAATTAGATGAAAAAAAAAAGAGGTGAAAACAACTGAAATCAATCAATCAGTAAGTTTCAATTGAACTCGAATGGATCCAATCTAATACAAACTATCAATGAAAGATCCAGCTGTAAAAAACACCTCCCGTTATTATCCCCAAACGACAATCTAATAACAATCAAATCATCTTCCACTTCAGCCAGGGCCCTTGACTTTCAGTTTCATCCTCAATTGAAATCATCAAGATCATTTGTTTAAATGGAATAACAACTAAAGATCAACTGATCTTAATAATTAAATGATCAGGCTTCAAGTTCATGTTCTTTTATAATTTGTTTTTTTTTTTTTTTTTTGGCTTCTTGTAAACTTCTTATGACTTTTGACTAGTTTCAAAGAAAACATTATTCTACCAATAAATTGGCATCTTGACTGACTCAATACTTTTCCCGCACTACACAGG